GGCAAATCGTCACAAGTTAAGGTTGCTCTGGAGAGCATCAGTATTGTCATGTTGCACCAAAGTAGCATTGTTTTAATAAAATTCTCTCTTCCGCATTAAATGTAAAGCTCAATGCATTACCCTGATAAGTCTTGTCTTCAGTAGAAAATTAGGTTGTGTTAGGACATGACTTTGAGGAGCTGTGTGTTAACAGGATATTAAGCAAGACTAATCAGTCACTGCAGAAAAAAAAATCATCTTTACTATTATGTCAGCTCATCATGATTAAATCCATGGTTCCAGCTGGGTTTATCCATGACCACAGTGGCTACAAATGCCCCAGTCTACAAAGTCATATTTAATTTGGTTAGCTAATGCCAGACTAATTGTAATGACAAATATGATACGATGTACAATGTAACAATTTTGCTAAACAAAGGTTAATTTTTAGAATGGTCTTTATGGTCGATCTTGTAAAGTTACCTATCAGCACTGCATTGCCACCACTTTTTTACATTTCATATACACCAAAAACTATTGTACAGCTAGATACTATGAAGCCTCTGATTTCAGGGATTGAATGTTTCTGCCTGAATAGCCAATTTACTCCAGTACTCAAGCTCAGTAACTGGGGTGTGTCCTGATGCTCATGTTCAAAAAGTGCATAAGCCCCCAAATATAACTTAGTTATAATATTTTAAATGTATTTTATAAACCACCGCTAGCTCTCAGTTTTGATTTGCTATTTGTTAAAGCTAAACTGCTGATGAATAACCTACACTTAAAACAAGCCAAAAGAATATCTAGAAACAACAGAAACAGAAAAAGAAATTATGTAATGGAGATACTGGTACAGAGCAGCAACTATATGGGGTCCTCACAAACAGCACGCTTCTCTTTCCAAGATTAATTTTGCAATTCAAACGTAATAACTAATGTTAAAAGAAATATTTTTCTAAGTTTCATCATCACTTTTATTGCAGGAATGGGAAAAAGGCTATTTGGACTGATTTTAATTTTAGTGTTCAACCAATGTTGTAGATAAATATTAGTACTGATAACCTGAATGCAGTTCTGGTGCATTGGTCTAAAACTCTTGGGACCTATCTAGCAGAGTAACTGGGATACATGGGTAAAAGCTGTCTAGCAAATTATCTCTTCTGAGATACTAGCTGTCAAAGGCTTTGTCTGCACTACAGAGCTTTAGCAACACAGCCATGGTGCTAAAAAACCAGACATTGACAAAATATTCCCTCTCCCCCACCATGAACAGAATTCACATTGTCAGCAGAAGAACACACTCTTTACACGGCCACTTGCTGCAGCAAAACTAGTTGTGTCACTCAACTAGGACTGTAGACAATCCAGGGCCACCAACGGGGAAGGAGAGGGGAAAAGTGGGCAACTGCCCCGAAGGCCTGGCATTTTTAAAAGGGCCTGGGGATTCTGAGGAGCATGCACATGGCAATTCTGGAGAGCTCCGTGGGGAAGGCTAGTCCCAGCTCCCATCCCTTCTGCATGAGGCCCTGTCCCTTCCAGGGACCGGGAGCTACCCCCACCATGGGCCCAGCGAAGTCTGTTCTCAGCCGAGAAACAAAGTCAAAAGGTTCTTTCACTGTCGTACGGCCAGCAGTGTATTTTGCCACACGGGGGAAAAAAAAGGCATGAAGAAACTACTAAAGCTAATTTAGGCTTTGCAGTTAACACATACCTCACTAATTCCTAGTAATGACTAGGTTCCCGCATTATGAATTATTGAATTTTGCAAATTAGTATGTGAATAAACAGCACAATAGAGCTAATGCGTCACCAGAAGTGCTGTGTTCATTTTCCGTCAAGTATAGTTCAGTTTTGTTTATGATACTTCAGTGCACTGGCAAGTGTTCACTGATAGAGTTTCTAAAAATAATGAAGTGTTAGTAATACAGCAACGATTACAGTCTACAGTTTTAAAACCTTTGCAGAGAGATATAGAAAGGGGACGTTTTGTATGTGTAAATTAAGAAGTGAGATTCTACTCTGCCTTTCATGAGAAACACAGCCAAGATTACCTTTAAATTTGTGTTTAAAATACTTATCCAAAACCTGAAATTAAACAAATGTGTTCTGTGTTTTCTCTTTAATTTAATGCTACTACAAACAGGTTTCAAACAAGTACTCCCTTGTATGTTTGCAACGTAAAAGCATTACAGCATTAAGGACCTAGAAGTAAAACAATCACTATAAAAAAACCTGGTATAATTAAATTTTCATGGTCCAAGCTGAGAATGCAGAAAGTATAACAGCAAAACCAACAACAAAAAAATTGAAAGTAACAGCTGCAGTTTTATTAATCTAAATATTTCTAATTTAAACAAATTAACATTTTTGTCTAAAGTATAATTTAAACTCAGAATCAGTTTTAAAAGATATAATTCGTGTGCTCTGTGATAAAGGGCATAGATTTTTTTTTTTATAGTTGGGACCTAATATAAAAGCATTTCTAACAATGTACCTATATAAGAGGTATTATTCAAAATAAGACAGCTATAATCAGGAGGGAAAGATCTTTTCAAACAAAAAATGTAACAGTACAGGCAGTCCCCGGGTTACGTACAAGATAGGGACTGTAGGTTTGTTCTTAAGTTGAATTTGTATGCAAGTCGGAACTGGTACATATTGTAGGGGAAACTCTAGCCAAACATTTCTCCAGAGCTCAGTTTTATTCTCCCACACCTCACTTCCCTCAGTCCTTTATTCTCAAGCTGAGGTGTCTGCTGAAAAAAGCCGCTCCGCGTCTCCCTGGTCTGCTGGGGGGAAGCAGCTAGTGCAGGGTTGCCTCACCCCGTTTGTAAGTAGGGATCTGATGTAAGTCGAATCCTGTAACCTGGGGACTGCCTGTATATAAAATTTAGGGTTTCAAGTACAAATTAGTTATCTCAATGAGGATTAATATTATGTGCTTCCCTTAAGCTTTAAAAGATTTTTAAAATTGGGTGACGACTGTGGGATTTTTTTTAAAAGTATTTTACTTTAATAATACAGAGATTTTATCACTTTCCAGGGCTACATGCTTCTGTGTGACCAGCGACATTCCTAAGTCAACGTTAAGTTGTGGACTGTTGTGTGGTAATAGATTTTGACAGCATGTTACTGACCTATTCTTACAATTACCCACCCACTTTATTTTGCAGCATTTTACACTCCACTCAGAAATAGAGTATTCACAGTTACTAGACATGCTCAGTAACTGTTTCTGAAGCCAATCTAACTGGCAGGTCACACCCAGTCATACTCCAAAAGGTGAGCCAATCAGAGGACAGGGAAGTGGAGAGGGAATGATAAATAATGGAGTTAAAACACAGTATTGTGGACTTAGTGGCTGATACAGGCAGAACCAGCCAGTCTGCTGTTTGGGCTAGATCCCCATGCCAGTTCTATTCTGGACACAGGCCACACACTGTTTCATAAACTGAGGACCTGTCATCTATGAACCCAAGAGCTGAAATGCTCTAGCCGAGGAGATCCCCAGATTGATTGTCTGATTTTTAAGTGTTTGAAAGGACTGCGATGCCCCCTTACTTCTCAAGCTCACACACACTACATATTACAGTCATGCTAGAAAGACAGAGACATCATCTCTGAAAGATAAGAGGGGAGTGTATGCATGCGCATGCACACCATTGTATTTTATGGGGGTGGGAGGGAAATTAGCCCAGCTGCCTCAGTTTGTACTGGAGAAAAGTGTCTATATTAAGCATTTTTTGTTTTCTGCTTTTATTCAAAAATACCAACTTTAATGAATGACCTAATTAAAAACAATTCTTCTACTCCTCTTACTGCACAGAAAAACTCCGTATGCGTTTATCAGAATTTGAGTAGGAAGTCCTTCACAGATCTGAATGGAACAGGGGGGAGCTCGTATGCCTGGATGGCAGAGTCTTTAGCTCTGGAATTAGTTTTTCCCAGTAGTTCCAAGACAGCTGAAGTTTGCCGGCCATCAAGGCCCATTGCCGCAGCACTCCATACTTCAAGAGCCTACTCGTTCACCCATCATATAATTATGATATATTTCATGCAAAGCTTCTCATGTAAGGTATCATATGAAAGGTCATGATTTGCCCCAACGAGGGGTGGGGAACCTTTTTTAGAGTCATGGGCCAGTGAGAAGCTGGAGAGGGGCTGGAGCGCCAGCACGAGCACCCCAATGCTGGGGGGAGTCCTGAGCCCCTGGGGCAAGATCCAGGCAAGCTGGGGGCTACATCTGGCCCTCAGGCTTAAGATTCCTCACCCGTGGCCTAAACCCATTATTCTGTCCAAGTACATATACCATTAGTTTGTACAAAGTGATCAGGTTTTGCTCTATGGTTGTTACTAAAATATATTGGTTTGAGAGTCTACTGCTAGGTGGCCATCCACTCCCAGTTAAATGACTATCAATCATCACAGGGGTTGTGAAAAAGGAGTTTACAACTCAATGACAGTTGTGCAAGGGGGGGGGGGGAGTTACTCAATTCTGCGACTCAGCAAAGCCCACCAGGAGATGACTAGATATTTTCCAGGCACATGGACTAAAAGTATAAAATAAGGGATGGTGGCATCATACTTAAGCCTGTCTCCTTCCTCACCAAGGCTGGATGCAACAAAAATACGGGGAAGACAAAGACTTGAACTGAAGAGACTGTTCCCAGGTTTAAAGGGGAATCCTGAGTATTAAGCACTATTATAATAACTAGTGAGAAGAGAAAACTGCTTATTCAAATACTGCCTAGTCCAATAAGGTTTAAGATACAGACTCTATGCATACCTTTTATTTTCTTTGGTAACTATCTCTGACCTGTTGTGCCTACCATTTATAATCGCTTAAAATGTTTTAGCGACAAGGAGTCCTGTGGCACCTTATAGACTAACAGATATATTGGAGCATAAGCTTTCGTGGGCTGAGACCCACTTCGTCAGATGCATGTTAAGTGGGTCTTAGCCCACGAAAGCTTATGCTCCAATACATCTGTTAGTCTATAAGGTGCCATAGGACTCCTGGTCGCTTTTGCAGATCCAGACTAACACGACTACCCCTCTGATACTTAAAATATTTCCCCAACAGCATGCTTTGCTTGAACTGCTTGGACAATCTCCGAGAAGGTTACAAATGCTTGGGTTTGTCTTCTCCACACTGAAGGAGGGGAGGACTTGGTAATAAACTTACACTGGTCAGGCTTCTAGCCAAGGCAAGGTGGAACAGTTCTGGGGAGCAAGGCTGAGGGCTTGGCAGATTTACTAGTTCCTCTCTCCGAGAGTTTCAGGAGCGGCTCAGGAAGCATTTTGTGCAACGTAGCTTGGTGTAAGACTCCATATGCTGAGTGATAACAGAGTATGGAGAGGTTTGCTACTTGTCACTAGCAAAGCATTGTGTTCGAGCGCCCAGACTGGAGAGTAAAAGGGGCACAGACATAGACCCTTCCAGGCTGTATCTAAAGGATCTTTGTCCTAGTTCCTCAGGATTTTTCCAGCAAATAGAGATGCGTCACACAGGGTTGACTTTTTGCAGTTTGCAGAGGAATGGGTTGACTTAGTGCCAATTTTATTATCATGCCCTTTTTTCATTACTCATGTGTAGACATTGTAGAGGCTACATAACAGTGTCTAGAGAGAGATAATCAGGAATGAATTAAAACAGCAGATAAATTGCTAGCTTTAAAGCTGTCTTCGTGAAATAAATGGTCAAATATAACCATTTCTTCAATTGTAAGTTATTTGGTGCTTTTTATCACACGGGTACTCTAGTCTGACAAAGTAACATTGCATATATGTATAGATGTCTAGAATGTTCTGTGGATGCATCCATGCTGAAGTCACTCTGATCGGCACCTTCACTGTTAAGATTCTATGTCAGCATTTCCATCATAAACAAAGTGCCTTTTAAACGGTAAAAAAAAAAAATCACTCTAGGCTAAAACTCAATATAAAAATTTTCCATGCAGAGCAAATGGCTTATCGTTCTAAAAAGAGATTTTATATCCAGCACTCCTATTTAAGTTTTTATTTTGGTTTCTTTAACAGATTAATGAGGAAAGAAAATTTCTGGGCATTCAGGAAAAAACAATTTCTAAACGGAAATCAGAGTATGGAACAGATTCCCAGGGGAACTTCGTGGAGGGCCGGAGATAAAGAACAGACATAGCATTTCCAGTGCTTAGGTTATTTTTTTTTTAAAAGAAAAAGACACATCTAGTAGTTAATAAATATATTATAGAACTGATGTTGCCAGATTCTTCGAGCCAGAAACCACCTGCAATGTTGTATTGCAATGCTCCGAGTGCTCATTGCAATCAGTCAAGTTGCCTCCCTCATCCTCCTTCCTTGCAAAGAGGCACATACTCCAATTTGGGCCCCCTGTGTCCAGTTCAGCTTCTAGATAGCCCTCTGTACCCAACGGGATTTGTTGGAGGGCAGGTGTGGCTTTAAAGTGACTTACTCCAATGTGGAACACAGCATCTCTATAGCCTCAAGAACATGCTGCTGGAAGGAAGGAAGGATACATTCTGTTGACAATAAGTTACTGCTTTGTGCTATTTATAATACAAAAGTTTTAAAAAGGAAGCAAAATCATCATAATCAGTTTTAACTCCCATTTCACAGACATCATGTCCTATCTCGCTTACATCCCTCGTAAGATAGGTAAGAAGAGCAACAAGCATACATATATGCATACGTGCCAACAAAACAGAAAACTTTCATCTCTGCTTTCTGTGCAATTTGAATAGAATAAGGGTCGGTCCTAATCTATTTCATCTTCCACTCAAGATTGAGATGGATGAACAAATAATTAATTCTCTGAAGTACACCACAAGCAACATTTATCTTTAAATCATTTTGTCTATTGGTTCTTCAAATTCCTTGACAATGCGTATACATTCTTTTCAGAAGTTGGAAGGCAAACAGTTAATCCCTTCCACCCCAAGGGCAACAACTGGAGAGGGATCACACAGGGGACCACTGGCCATGACCCCCCCGCCAGCCTAGGGAAGGGCCGGGCCAATCCCTCTCTGCCCCAGACCCCACCTTTCCCGTGCCTCTTCTCCGGCCCTTCTCACCCTTGCTCCAACTTCTTTCCACCTTTCATGCCCTTGCTCTGCCCCGGTTCTTCTCCCAATTGATGTGGCTTGGGGGACTAGCGGGGTCAGAGAACCAGCACCCCTTCTCCCCTGGCACTCACAAACAGAGGAACAGAACAACACATCCCCAGCTTGCCCTGCTCGTTTGGCTGCATCATTCTGCTTCCTGTGAGTGCAAGTGTGCTCCCACCTGCACTGAACACAGGGAGGAGGACCCCTGCTATGGATTCCAGCCTTGCCCCCTGCTAGTCCTCCCACCAGCTGCTGGTCCGACCCTTGCCCCTCCCACCATGTTGGTGGAGGCATGTGTCCCGCTACACATCACCCCTGTTTTCTAGACATGAAAGACCCCTACTCCCGAAGAACAGGTCCAACTGAAGACAATAAAGCATGCCCGAAAAAGGAAGTGCTATGTGAGCCTGGAACAGGCTGTTGGGGACTGATTATAGGATTGAACAAGAAAAGGGAAAGGGAAAGTTAGGTTTCCCTCTCAGGTGACTAAACTGGTTAGATGAACTTGCTTGAAACAAGTCACCTCTTGACAATGTTAAACTGGGCTGAAGAAAACCAGTTTTCATTTATAGTTGGCCTTTAAGGATACACTAAACTTACCTTACAAAGCTCTGTGATAAATCATTCGAAGTTAGCTTCTAAACCCATCTCAACATATAGATTCTGTTTAGCTTACCATGGTCTGCCCCTACACAGACGTTTAAATGCAAAGTTTATGCTGTGTCCATTAGTCTTAGTGGGGCTTCATTTATTTGAAAGAGGGGGAAAAAAAAGCAAAATTGTTTGACTGTTAGTACTTCCTGCAGCTCTGATCCACCAGGATGGATAGATTAGTCAGTCCCTCCTTTAAATCAGGCAGAGGACTACTAATAGCATTTTCATTCACTTACTTTTTCTCTCAACACTTCTCAACAATTAAACATGAACACCACAAGTATGCACAGAAATTTGTTGCATACTTACTGATGGTGGTATGTCAGCACTTAAGTCATTCTTCTGGATATTCCCTGAACCATCTTCCTTGAACTGTCAACATCAAAATTGGACACAATATTCCAGCAGTGGTCACACAACTGCCAAGTACAGTACCTTTCTACCTCTCTGGATACCCCTTTTTATGCTTACATGGATAGCATTAGTCTTTTTGGCCCCAACATCACACAGGGGGCTTATCCAACACAACATGCAATTTTTTTCCTTACCAATCGCTGCAGGACCCAGCAGTGAAAGTAACTTAAAATGGCTTACAGGTGCGGTACTACTGCAACCCGAGTCCCTGCTAACTCTTTAAATAGCTCCCTACTGGCTTTTGCCACAGCTCAGCCAGCTCTTGCTCGAGCCATGCACCAGGATGCACCCACTTACTTTTACCTCTGGTGGGACCCCTATTAAGAGACAGGCGCTTAATGATGATTCAGGCCTCTATCAATTAGTCAGCTTTCTAGTCTATTCAAGGCATACCTTGTTGGTTATATATCATTGTAGCATAATCAAAATATTTGCAATACCAAGGCACATGTCTTAAAATAGTCTATTACATGATAAGAAATAAGCTTGAAAGATGGAAGCACTCTGCCATCAGAGAGTCCTGAGCTTTCTCCCTACTTAGTCCAAAACAACTGCACAACTTGCCTCATTTTCTGTTATGCCTGCATATAAGGCCTGAGATACTATTTCTCGGAATGCTGCCTTCTTCACGACCACTCATTGGGTGAACCTGTTTCCACTAGGGATGTTAATCAGTAAGTAATTAGCTAATCGTGTCATGGATAGAATTTCTATCCATGACACGATTAGTTGATAAAAGAGGAAGCCTCAGTCCTGGCTCGTGACGGGTCCAGGAGCTACCCCCACACTGCGCCTCTGTAGTTTGAACGTAGTAAGAGCCAGGCAGCCCAGCTCCTATTACATTTAAACTGCAGAGCCACAGTAGGGGGTAACTCCCAAACCGAGTGGTCCAGGACACCAGCCCCTGTCAATGGAGGAATCCCAGCTCTCTGCTGGAACCCCCGCAGACAGGCTGCCCCCTCTCTCCAACAGCATGTGCTGAGGGAAACCACTTTTTAAATCAGTTCCCCCAGCACCAGCTCCTGCTCCCCAACCCCACTCTGCTGCCTCTGATATTGGTTAGTCGACTACTCCCTTACATCCTTAGTTTCCAGCTAAGCCAATGAGCAATGAGGTTTCACTTTTTTCCAGGCAGAGGGGCAGGTAGGGGCACTAATAAAAAGAGCTCAAGAAAACACCGATATCACTACCAATTTCAAAATGATCATCTATTAGATGCTCCCTATCTAATTTGCACAGAGGGGAGACACCTATCCATCTGTCTACATAAGTGAAATCTAAGGCACCAAAATACAATAGCACATCTTTAACTATTGAACTGTGCTACTTTTTTTAAGTCCCTGACTGTGCCTTTTTACTCTTTTACTGGGGGAACGAAAACAGGAACAGACAACGTATCAGCTCTCCATATTATAAAACATTCTGCTTTACAATAACTTTGATCAGTTGAAAACAGTAACTCTCAACAGACCAGATATGGAGTTAGCACAGTAGAGGAGTCGTCAAACATGGTGCTCAAGACCATGCAGCCAAACAAACACGTAATAAAATAGACCCATCTTTGAGTGAGTGCAATTGATTTTCTCCTTTAAAAATTAAGACACCAGATCAATTAGTACACAGCACATCCCAGGCACATCACACCACTTTTGAAAAATGAGACTGTAGTGTAGTGCTGTGGCGGGGGGCGGGGGGAGGAGAAGGGGAGAGGAGAGGGGGAGGTTGGTGGGTTGGCTATAGGAATGTGTGGTATTCAGTGCAAGAGATTTGCAGTGTATTCCTAGATATAAGCTTCCAGTGCTCATTCCCAAGACCACTTCAGGGCTCGCATGTGACAAAAAGTCCCTTATTTGTTGAATACCGTATGAACTTACATATTCACAATCATAAAAACAGCATACAGTGATATAGTCTTTGCATGAACAATCAGCAACCACTAGACTCTACTATGCTTCTATGACCTATGACAGTAGAACACTCAACCACCAGTAAAACTAAGCTTCATTGTCACCAGTGGTCCCTATCACATTGATTAGTAGTGGAATTGGCAGCACATTCCTTAGGTGATAGCCAGGGTAAAAGAAAATATAAATTAATAGCTTCCCATGTGATCGGAGGTGAGGGGTAGGAGGGGAGAGCAATGAAATCTTCTGGTTCTCCACACAGCTTATAAAAATGCCTATTTTACACATTCAACTGTCCATCTGTAGTGGCTTTCCATGGGGATTACTGTAACTTGCAGGCAACTGTTACTGAGAAAGCTCAGTAGCTTCTGCCAAATGAGCTCCTACACATAAAACCTAAGCAGCCAATAATTTATGAACAAGTACCTAGCAAGTCTGTCTTCAAGAGGTGCAAACAGCAAAAAAGAGTTGGAGCCCTGGAGATACTGAGACAAGGAATATTGAGAAAACTTTTAGAACGTAATATCCATGTTTCTCTCTCTCTCTCTCACACACACACACACACACACACACACACACACACACACACACACACACACACACACACACACACACACACACACACTTACTTCTATAAAAGACAGGAAAATTAGGAAATCCCCACTACACTGTAGTCGTAATTTGTCAATTACTCATTTTATGTAAGCCTAAGGAGCACAAAATCTTACCCTTCCTGTATGTCCTGATTTCACAGAATCATATAAATGCAGGGCTGGAAAGGCCCTCAAGAGGTCCTTGTAACTGAGGCAGAATTAAGTAAACGCAGTCTACACCTGATACGTATTTGTCCAATGTAATCTTAAAAACATCCAAAGATGACAACCTCCTTAGGTAACTTGTTACGGTGTTTAATTTGTGACCACTCTAAGCCACAGACCCTTTCCAGCAGTACTGCCACCTAGCCATTGATTCCTCATTTTTTTAGTTGTACACTTGATTTTTCCTTTTTAAGTGAAGTACTTCACATTTTTATTGACATTTATATTGTTGATTTAAGACCAATTCGCCAAGGTTATTTTGAATGTTAATCCTGTCCCCCAAAGTACTTGAGACCCTCCCAGCTTAGTACCATCCACAAAATTTATGAGCATGGGCTCCACTCCACTATCTATGGTGGTAATAGGATCACTGTCACAGGGTCACTGTCACAGGACAGACCACTAGGTGAACTCACCAATTATGTTCTTCCAGTCTGAAAGCAAACCAATGGCATACAGGTCTTTCAACCAGTTGTCCACTATGGCTAGGTGGCAGTACTGTTGGAAAGGACCTGTGGAGGGGACAGCAGCTGTGCATAGCTCTCTTTCATTGATAAAGGGAGTGAACTTTACGAGCTCTGTGTAAAACTTTTTTATAAGAATAATAGAGATTTATTTGGGATTTTTGGTCCTGGACGCTGTGCTCCTGGGTGCTGTCAAGTCCCTGTAACTGAGCCCTCCCTGAGCTGAGCTGTTCTTGGGGTCTGTGTTACTCTGCTGGGCAGCTGTTACCCCAATCTATGCCTTTCCTGGGGGAGAACAGAGCTTCTAGCTCAGTAGGGCAGGGTGGTGGGGCACTCTGCACTACCATAAGGCAGTGATATAATCAGCCCCCCAGGTGACAGTCTCAAGGGGATGGATATCTGTTGCCCAATCTGTCACAATAGCTACTGAGAATTAGCTCCCTAAATTCACAGCTGTTCTAAGATGTACCTATTAAGTGGGCAGAGCCCTTGGAGAGGGCAGCACAATATACTCCAAATACAAAAGAGACACAAATAAACTAAATATAACTGAGAATCTGCTACAAGAGGGAATTTGAAGATGGAGCATTAGTTGTCTATGTTCCCATCTTCTGAAAAAGGAAGAACAGAGGGCAGAAGGCATTAAGGTTCATCCCTACTGCACAGTTAGCCCAAGTTATTGGCACTCAGGTTAGCCAATCCCAAATGTGCTCACTGACAAAGCAGAACCCTACCTCCCATCCTGACTTGTGTGTCTGTCTCTGTCTGTCGGAAGACCCTGTGGTGCTATATGGTGAGATACTCCAGGATCCTTTCCCAGACAATTCTATCAATTGTGGGAGAATCTACATTGCAGGAAGGCAATAGAAGACAATTAACATTTGAGCCGTTTTGCCTGCCCCCTCACCACAAAGCAGGTGGGTGGGTTCCAGCCAGAGATGATAAAGCATAGCTCAGGCTTTAATACTGTATAATCAAGCATGGGTCCATAGCACAAACAAACCCTTGCCTGAGGGTTCATCTGAAGAAGTGGGTTGTGCCCACAAAAGCTCATGATACCATCTCCATGTTTATTTAGTCTTTAAGGTGCTGCTATAATATTTGTTGTTTTTAAAGTTTTTCCTTGCCTAAGGGTTATGAATGTGGGTAGTAGTGGGGTTTAAGCAAAAACAAATGTTGATGCACAGGCCAAAATTACAGTGGAGAAATACGCGTGTATTCTGATTCAATTATCTGAAAAGAAGAGTTTTTGCTATGGTTAAACTAGAGAATTTGATTAATTCATTTCTAGTATTTACTAGTATACCATTGATGGACACAGACATTTGAAACAGGAATTTTTAAAAACAGAATTGTTAAATAGGGAATAGAAAAATCCTAATACACAGAAATTAGTCAAGTGTCAAGCATATTTGTATGTATTGTAGAAAGTATAACCCAGCTGTCTCTTAAAATACCCGTTTACAATATTTTTTTAATTTATTTCACTAAGAAAGGCATCAAGGAGGAAGCAAAATGGTCCATATACACATATTACTTTCAGTCAATCCTGCTCTCTCTGAAGTTAATGCAGTTTTTCCCACTGGTTTTAATTGGAACAGGACAGCATTGAGTAAGAATGTGGCAACATCCCTTTGCATAGTACAGATAGATATAGGAACATATCTGTAAGTCAATAACTATTCTGGTTGTATCAAAAACTTTTAAAAAAAACTAAAAATTCTACAAGCAAGCAGTCACAAAAATAATAAAAAAAACCTCATACCAAGCTCATAATTTCCCCCTAAACATTTTTATACTTTTCAGTAGAACTTTGTGATTACTATAAGAGTTTGATCTGATTAGGAAAAAAATCCTGAAGGAAGGAAAGAATAAAATTTCAGTTGTGCCACCTGTAGAACTTCAATCAAAAACTCTGTAGGGGTTCTCTCTTCCTTTTCAGTATCAATTATACAATTCCACAATATTTTACTTATCAAGATACTTTGCACTTTGCATTTTTGATTTTTAACAACAAATGCCAGCTAGAACACTCACATATTTTCCAATACCAGTTGTCCCTTACATGGGACTCTTACATTCAGTTATCCCAATATATCTTGCATGAGTATGCATAAGCTCAGTTCTATAATCAAAAACATTGACAGAATAACTATTGTTTTTAATATGTAGGCACAGGCAGCAATAATCTTTTGTATTGAATACAAAATATCAGAGCAATGAAAATAATCTAATGGGACTTCCGATAATAGGCTGGGTGGGTGGTTTTTTTGTTTTGTCTTGTTTTTTTATATAAAAACAGGTCATATTCTTGTTTTATTTAATATTTCATGGTAACTTGTAATGAAATACATCCTGCTTGTCCAAAACCTCTTCTGATTAAAACAGAAGATATTTGAAAGGTCATAAACACTTGGTAGCAGTAGGACTGCAGACGCCCGCATGAATGTTTTCACTCAAGATAAATAAGGCTATAGCAGCTGCTGTCTACAGTCCAGGACCCATGCCCTATATCAATCAAATACACAGAAAGTCTCTCAACAGTAAGAGTCTAGAAATTTTACCCTAAAAGCATTGACATGAAAACCTTTTTCTCCCCACTTTAATAAAACAATCATTTCTGCACAGTTTCCTATCATCATGACCTATCAAAACAAACGTGATTTTAAAATGGCATACCACTGAAAATCTGTGTGTAAACTAAATAAACAAAACCTTTCCTCCTTAAATTGTTCTCATTGTCCGGCTTTCCTGTGGCAATCTGCCTAGTAAACTGCTTCCACCAAGAAGATTTCTGGATTCACTAGAAATAAATGTCAAGAAAGTATTATACATATTTAAAAAGTCTTAAGTAAGGAAATCTATTTGCAATAAAGATTTTAAAATCTTGGCTAAACTCAGTGCCTCTGCAACTGCCAAGGTAGATGAGTGACTGACTAACTTCATGTAGGGCTAAAACGGATTGCCATGGTGCACTTAGTAACAAGCAGCATAAACGAACTTAGAAAAATCTATAAATTTTTAACCTAAAACATAAATTTGCTGTTATGAAGGGCAAGTTCAGGAGAGATTTCAGGGATTCTTTTCTTTAGTCTAACAAAGATGGGCACTGTTGCAGGGACAATGAAGTGGAGAAGAACAACTTTTTTAGGAATTTACATTAATCTGATTGTGTCCAAATCTTCCTCTACTGTCTGATTTCTTGAAGCATTTATGCAATATTTTACAGTGCTGGAAATGAAGTAGGGATAATGAGTGGAATATGGCCACTTAGAATTGGACTAAGGTGTGGTGGAGTAATGGTTTAAGATAAACAGCCGTGTGCACCCTTGGATGTTGGATGAGGGTGTCTAAAGAATATAAACTGTACATGTAGATGAGAAGGGGTGGGCCTCAATCAAAACCCTGGATGTGAATAGCCCCAAAATTGGAAAACGTAAAACTTTACAGCTTGTCCCCTTTCTCCTAAAGCCAGGATTCAGACTTACTCTAGTCTTCAGGAAAATCTGTTTCCAGATAAAAAGTTTACACTTCAGGCAAAACACTAATGTAAACAAGATAGAAACATCTGGAAAAAAAAGAGAAGCCACAAAAATGTTTGTGTGAAAGAACAAAACTTTTAACATACTGCTGAGTGTGACAGTGAAACCCAAACAAAAGACTAA